GGGCTGGTGGAAGGTGTCCCTGCCCATGGCAGGGGGTTGGAACTGGATCATCTTTAATGTCCCTTCCAACCCAAACCCTTCTGTGATTCTGTGATTTTATTGTATTTAACTTTTTTTTCTCCCCAGTGCCTACATCTCCAGTCAATCACTAAGTCATAACTCACACTTTCTGAAATGGCTTCTTGAGATCTGCAGTCCCTTAGAGCTCAGCACAGAAATACACAAAAGAACTCTGAAGTTTTATTTTACTGGCTTTGTAGTAGAAATTTGGATCATTATTAAGGCCGAGAGCATCAGTAGATAAACTGATTGATGCAATCACAGCTGTTGTTTCAGGTGTACCTCAGCTAATAAAATATACACAGTACATGCTAACGCTCAGTAAGTTTAGCTGGGAGTGGCCAAGGCATCAAACCACCACTGGCAGTCGAAGTACAGCTGTTCTCACAAAACAAAAAATAAAAAATGAGTGACTCAGCTCCCCATAACTGAAACAGTCCTGCCAGTTGCTGAGGTTGGTGTGAGAACAGTTCCAGAAGCCCTGGTGGGATTGCTTGAAGTACCAGCAGGATCCTTTGGGAACATTCATCTCTTAAAGCAAAGGAACAACCCAAATTTTCAAGTATTGAAAGTCACCACACTGTGTGATAAGTCTTCAAACAACAAGCAATAAAAATTGGTTTTGATGGAGCCCTTTAGCTGGTTCCAAAATGCCCCACCACCTTCTGAATAGGGAAGGGATTTTTTGACAGCTGAAAAACATGTTGTTTGCTTTATTTCAGTGACACTTTATTTGCCTCTTGTTTTTTTTTAAATTTTTTTTTTGACCTAAAAATGCATAAAACTCTTGTAAACTCATACCTGTTAATTATCAAATTAATAATTGCTTTCTTTTCTTCTGGCTTCCAGAGGCCACTTAGAAGATGTGTATGATATTTGTTGGACCTCAGATGGTAATTACATGGCCTCTGCCTCTGTGGACAACACAGCTATAATGTGGGATGTCAATAAAGGTAAATGCTACATTTATTTATTTATCCCTTTCAGAGATTTCTTTATCCCAGCTCCAGAGCTGGTGGAAGTGCCTATTGGGATTTACCAGAAAATTGGAAGCATCTTTTTTTGTGTTTGGGTTTTTTTTTTTTTTTGGGGGGGTGATTTGGGTTTTACAACACGTTTGAGCTTTGGATCTGAAAGCTGTTTGTATTTCCAGGACAGAAGGTTTCCATATTTAATGAGCACAAGAGTTATGTCCAAGGGGTAACCTGGGATCCTCTAGGCCAGTACATTGCAACCCTGAGTTGTGACAGGTGAGCTGCTGGGCTGTGTTTTATTCATTAACATTAATTAATATGAATATTAGGAGGATGAGTCAAAAGGAAATGCACCAGATAAATGTGGCTTTTTTTTTAGTTTTTTTCAGATTGTTCTGTAAGCAGGTTGATGTGAAAGTAAAATTATATGAGATGATCAGAGGGATGGAGCTCCTGCCCTGTGGGGAAAGGCTGGCACAGCTGGGATTGTTCAGCCTGGAGAAGAGAAGGTTTTGGGGTGACCTGAGTGTGGCCTTGCTGGGCCTGAAGGAGCTCCAAGAAAGAAGGAGAGAGACTATTCCCAAGGGCTGGAGGGACAGGACAAGGGGGAATGGGTTCACATTGACAGAGAGTAGGGTTAGGTGGGATACTGGGGAGAAATTCTTCCCTGTGAGGGTGGGGAGGGGCTGGGATAGAATTCCCAGAGAAGTTGTGGCTGCCTCTGGATCCCTGGAAGTGCCCAAGGCCAGATTGGAGCACCCTGGGCTGGTGGAAGGTGTCCCTGCCCGTGGCAGGGGGTGGCACTGGGTGGGTTTTGAGGTCGCTGCAGCCCGAGCAGGGAGTGTTTCTGTGCTCCTCTGCAGGGTCCTGCGGGTGTACAGCACACAGACCAAGAGGGTGGCCTTCAACGTCACCAAGATGCCATCTGGATCGGGAGCCGAAGGAGAGGTGCGTTGTTCTGCCGCTGATGGCACTGGAGAACGTGCTGGGGGATATTTTCACATGAGTTTCCTGTTCCATTCCGTGGGATCCATATAACTAACACGGGATCATCAAGCTGGGAAGTGACCTTCAGGATCATCCAGCACCACCAGAATCACCCCCTAATCCATACCCCCAAAACTTCTTGCAAGCAAAGCAGTGACACGGTGCCTTTGGTTGTAAATATTTATAATGGCTTGGAAAAATACTATGTCTGGTGAACTTTTAACAGGAAAAACTTCAAGCATGCCTACCAGTAGCTGTAAGTTTATTCATGGATAGGACATAGCAATAATATTTTAAAGTTAGCAGCCTGAAGTTTTCCAGAAGGTAGTCTGATTTTTAAGAAAAACATGAATTAAGGGAAAATTCAGGAAACTCTCTTTAACCCTAAGAGAGAAAACAAAGAGCTTTTTTTCACCAAAACACTTCTAAGTGACAATAAAATAACACCTCCAAGCTGGCCATAACCTTCTTAATTCCTTCTATTCATTCCTTTTCTTTTTTTTTTTTTGGGGGAAAGCATTTTTTAGAGTTTTATAGAGACTAAAGACCAGGCCTGAGAGCAGGCAGCTTGCCATTAGAGAAGTTCTCTTTCAACCTTTAATACTGGAGTTAAATTTAAGTGCCTGAGGAACAGGCCCTTACACTACCTGTTAAATAATCTTGTTCTCCAGGTTCTGACTATTTTTGGATTACTGGTCTGCTCTGGGATTGTTTTGTTCAGCAGCTGAAGGGAGGGATCAAGGCCTGGTTTTTTTTCTTAGCCGTGAAGAATTTATAGCGGGGCAGAAAGTGAGTTTGGAGGAGCCGTGGTTTCTCCAAACACTTTTCTTTAAAAAAAAAAAAAAGTTCCCCCAGGTCGGGTTGTGCAACTGGATGTTTCCTCTCCCTGGAATTCCAGCTTGTGCCAATCCTGTTTTCCTCCCGTTGCAGGCCCGGAGCTACCGGATGTTCCACGACGACAGCATGAAGTCCTTCTTCCGCCGGCTCAGCTTCACCCCCGATGGCTCCTACCTGCTCACTCCAGGTGTGGCAATGTGGGCTGGGACTGAGGTTGGAAAACAGCTCCAGGTTGGAAAAGATCTCTGAGGTCATGGATCCCCCCCTGTGCCCCATCCCCACCTTGTCCCCCAGCCCAGAGCACTGAGTGCCACGGCCAGGCCTGCCTTGGGCACCTCCAGGGCTGGGCACTCCAAACCTCCCTGGGCAGCCCCTGCCAAGGCCTCACCACCCTTTCCAGCAACAAATTCCTCCTCCTGGCCAACCTGAGCCTCCCCTGGCACAGCTGGAGGCCGTTCCCTCTCCTCCTGTCCCTGTTCCCTGGGAGCAGAGCCCGACCCCCCCCGGCTCCCCCCTCCTGGCAGGGACTTGCAGAGCCAGAAGGTCCCCCC